ACCGTGTAATACAACATCCTCGGATGTTTCCTGTTTAACCCTATTGCCATGGGTATCCTTTACTGCACGTGACACAAGATTTTAGTGTCTTACATTCAAAATTTTATTAAGCTACTTCCTGTTTATGTTATACCAATTAGAATAGCATAAAATCTTAGCAAATAATTCATATTTTAATAGTATATAAGTTTAAGCTCTTAATTCTACAAGGAATCATTAAGAAATATCCTAGTGTGACCCATGTGACACATTTTCTAGTTTATCCACCACCCCTCGAAAAAGTACAAAAGCAAATATAAATTACTCTCTATAAAGTCGTCATTGCTCAGAAAAAACATAATTTTTATCGTCTTTGATTTTGGTTGCAGAGCTATTAAATTGAAAATCAGACCCTGCCTGCCACATCATTTCTTTCAGAATTAGTTAATAGTTCTTTCGTATGTTTAATTATATTTTACCTATAACCAATAGAAAGTCAAGATTTTTATCTATCAAATGACGTATTGTATAACGCTATATTCTGAACAGTTAAATGTCAATTTCACTCAGAGTATCAACATCGTTCCCATGAGGAAATTAACGACTAGCTTGGCTGAATTTGTAATGACTCTAGTCTCACAGTTAGAAAGCCAGAAAAATATTGAGAGGTAAAGGAATTTGTCTACTTTTTTCATGTTATGTGTCTATATTCTTTGGTGCATTACTTAATTAAATAAAAATTATTAAGTGCATTACTATCATTAGTATAAAAAAATTAGGGTTATCTCTCTTCAACAATTGACAGAAAGAATGGTTAAGTATTTTATTTCTTATTTTTCATGTTTATTCTTTATTAATTATTATTATCATAATAGTAACTAAACTATAAAAATAAGGATCCTTTTTGGTTAATTAAGATTAAATTAGGTAAAATAAATAATAATAATAAATATATTTCACGAGGCACACATGCGAGCAGCGTGTATTAGCTCGTGGGTAATGTAATTCATTAGCATAATGTGAGCTGCATGTTTCCCCGAGTGATTTACAACTTATAATGGCATGGATAGTAGTTAGAAATAGTTCAAAGGGCAATAAAATTTCATTATAAATAGATGTATACTATTATGAGTTTAAAGCTACTTAGGATAAACAAATGTAGTTTCATGTTACAATCTGTAATCATTCTACAAAGAAAAAAAGGGTAATTTAGATTTATTTGGGTGGTTACAAGGTCGGTCAAATTGACCAATTCGGTTTTGAGATAGGGTAGAGAAAATAACAGATAAACTATAAAGTTTTACTGAAATAAAATGCTTGAAATGCATTTAGGAGGTTTTAGGGATTACACAAAAGAAATTTGAGATGAGTAAAAGTATTTTTAATTTTAATATGAAAATTACTTTGTACACAGACTATACAAAACAAATACTCAATATATTAATGGACAAATTTTTATTTTATTAAAAATACTTCACTGAGAAATATGATTTTTTGTATGTGAAAGACATAATATGAACTAAAAGACTGCTAAATTTTGTGAAGATATACTTTCTATATTGAAAGTTAGAAGTACTAAATCTATAAAGACTTTAAACGAGTATAAAGAGGTCACGTGGTCGGTCAAAATGACCCCATCTGTGTTGAGAGAGTTAAACCTTAGTATTCAAGCTAACAGTTTATACATCAGTGACTGTTGGTCTTAATTTTACAGTGCATTAACAAATTTAAATGAATAGTAGAAACCCATATGCTTACTAAAACATTACCAAAAAAGTCAACTTGAAAAGGAGCTTGGCTTCTTCAGAGTGTTTTACAATTAACTGATCAGTTTAGTTACATGTTTTTAATATCAGTTTCTTGTGACATGCTTGTCACATTTGGTTATATGCAACTCTGTCATCGTAGATTTTGTTTTTGTGTTTTATTTTTACTCGCGAGAGGAGTTTAGCAACAGCCAAAGCACAGCCCGTCTGTCAATTAGTAGTCCAATCAGCATGGGACCATCCCTAATTCAGAACTAAGGAAATACAACCATGCAACATCTTGTAGCCCAACTCGCACAGTTTTTATTGTCATGTTTGTTTTCAATCCAGTGGGTAATATTACCCTGTAAAATTTCAACCATGCAAGAAAAGGCTCAATGTGTCATTTGGCTTGCAGAGACTAAATGACTGTGGTACAGCATATTTACAGATGCCAGTACAGGAAAGAAGTATGGGGGTATGTTAAGGGTATCATGTATCGTGAACTTACAACAAACATCAAAAAGCTAAAGATCAGGATAACAGCCACA